ACGATTCTTGTTGTACGCCTGACTCTAAATTATGATTAAAGAAGACTATATAATTACTACCTATACATTGGCATACTTAGATATGTATCGAATATTAAATTAAATTTTATTGGCATATATGTTTCTTTAAGTCTGTTTATTATAAATAAATTAATTTTTAATTATATATATATATATATATATATATCATGATGTGAATTGATTACACTGCATTATATCAATAATGACATAACGTGACATATCGCACCTTGTGTTATAAGGATTCTTGGTGACGCCAAATAGACAATTACTGCTTTCCCACCACATTGCCAATTCTGAAACATTTGTCAACGCCAGAGGTATGGCCCCAGCTGACCTCATTAACCTTATCACATCTGCATCTTTCTCAACGACGGTGTTTTTACGAATAACTAAACCGGCCGTTTGCTGCATGTTTTCGATCGCGATACAGTCCTGGCAAATGCAATTAGAAAAATGGCATTCTTAGATTATAATCATATAATCATATCAACAAATAATAAAAAGTGAAACAAATAATTATTTGATGTCTCTCAACTCTAATAAAATTGAAAGATGAATAAAATAAGAAGCAGGAATTACTTTGGTGGTAAAGGGCACACCGAATAATGGTTTTTCCTTGGCCAGAAACTCCACGGACGGGGCGTCCTGTGATTTCAACAGTTCGTCGCATTTTCTCGCTTCTTTCAACGCTTCCTCGAAGCGTTCCGCTACTACACAGTTGAGTATTGGTTGTATTTCTTTTATTCTTTCTATGTACGAAGATACTACATCTTCCGAAGTTAACTACGAATAATAAACAATAATGTGAGCAACTTAGGCGACGACAAGCGGATGTGCGTGACACGTGACATAGATACTTAAGCTTGTAGCTTACGTCACTTTATTAATGTATTTATGACTATGCAGGTTCAATTATTTTATATGCATTAAAGAAATAATGAATAAAACATAAAGATATAAAAAAAGATCTTCGTGTGCGATTTAGTGTGTGTTTATTGTGTTTAAAATAAGCATTGTAATGCGATTCGTCATTCATGACTAGTATGCAAGATAAAATTTCACTTTGTTATCAGATAATTCAAAAGATGAAGGATGATTACAAGATCGAGTGTAGATAGGCTTTATCAGATTTCAAGTTGTCAAACATTTATCAAACATTCGCGAAATTCGATAAATAGCTTCAAAAGACTTACCTGTCGGTTTCGAATTTTTAACGCTAAAGCAGTCGCGCTGTGCAACAGAGTTAAATCTTTGATAGGTGGTTGAGATTCCGCCGGTCCTCTGACAAAGGCAATTAACAGTGATATCCCTCTCACAATCAGTTCTAACAAGCGATGAAACACGCTCAGGATCTGTCGAGTTTGCATCTTGCTTCAGGTTCGCTCTTCAGTCGTCATTCACCAGTCGGGAGAAAAAAATATAAATCTGTAATTCTGTAATGATTTTAACGATTAAAATCGTCTATCGTACACCTAGCATATTCATGCGTCATTCAATAAAAAAAAAAAAAAAAAAAAAAATGCAACAGCTTTTTGCACCACATACCAAGATTAAAAATATACGATTTAAAAATTGAAGATTAATATTAAAATTGTTTTTAATTTAATTTCACAAATATTCGTACGACAAAATAAAATAAAATAAAATTCATTTATGCAAATTCCCCTCATATCGAGGAAAAATAAGTTTATTTATTTGTTTATAAGTTTATATAAGTTTATTTATTTCAGTTATAACGCAAAACATAGTTATATAAAGAAAAATATTGCGTTCCAATCGGTTTTGTTGTATAAAAATTGTATAAATGCGCATCCGAAAGGACAAAACACTACGTATTTTCATAACATCGATTCTATAACGATCATAATAACGACGCATTTCAGAATTCATTATGACATGTTACACCAATCGAATGTAAATATGATTCATCATTTTGCATAATGATATCGTATCGAAAATTATCTCGTTATATCGCTGGTGTGTTTGATAGCTTATCGCGACCATACTAGTTCTTTTAACATAAATACTAAGCTTATGTAAATCGTAAACAATAAATCATTCATATTTTTAATATTGTTTTAGCAAAATACGGACCATTACACAATATTGCAAATTAGTGTGACAAACAATATTAAATAAGAAATTTCGAATAATTAAGTTGCAATAAGAAATTACTAAAATAAAAAATAAAAGGTTAATAAAATAAAAACTCTATCGTTTCGTTTTTTTTTTAATTACAAATGTAAAAAAGAAAGAAAAAAAATCAAGAGTAAAAATATCGTCTAAGACGATATTTTTTTCTCTCTTTTTTACATTTGTAATTAAAAAAAAAAAACGAAACGATAGAGTTTTTATTTTATTACTTTTTATTTTATTACTTTTTATTTTTTATTTTAGTAATTTCTTATTGCAACTTAATTATTTCGAAATTTCTTATTTAATATTGTTTGTCACAATAATTTGCAATATTGTGTAATGGTCCGTATTTTGCTAAAACAATATTAAACACATGAGTGATATTGTTACGATTTACATAAGCTTAGTATTTATGTTAAAAGGAAAACTAGTAGGTACTCGCGATAAGCTATCAAACACACCAGCGATATAACGTACTATTTTTTAAATTAATTATTATATATATTGCAGAATCACACTTGCCACGTCGAAAAGAAATCGAGGAAGGTACTTCAAAATTTACACTTTCTAAATTAAATATTTACACCTGTGTGAATTTACGGGAAAGAGAATTTTAGATCGAAATATCGAAAGTTGATCGATTCGGCGGAATTCTTCTCGCTCGATATCGATAGCGTCAAATTTAAAATTCCGCGAGAAGACAGAAAACGCGTGAACGCGTCCGTTTCAAAAAATCGCGTGATCTGTTGTGCACAGTTGCGTGCTTCCCAACAAGGATAATTTAACCGGCACGTCGGTGATAAATAAAGACTTCGTAATAGGTAAGTGACGAGACGCGCGAATCTCGCTGTATGAAAAATTACATCAATATTCACGGGCAGGCCGATTCGAGGGCGTGACTTCTGCGATATATACCGAGTGCTTACACTTTTATTTAATCCGGCGGACAACCATTAATGATGTAATCGCGGAATTACGTGTCAAGGCTGGCGGGAACAATACGGTTGAATTTAAGTAGCTTTGCAAATAACAGAATTAAAGTACGGGGCGACCGTGCGGAGCTATCGTGGAGCTAACGTGGCCGAACGTCGATACGCCGTGTCCACATTACGGATTTTAACTACCGATTTTATGTATTTGTTTGTTTGAGGGGTAAAAGTTTCGAGGCAATTTCGAAAGTGTAAATTTTCGTCCAGCAAATTAATTAGAAGTTCAAGCCGAAAGTTGAAAATTTTACGATGACCCGCCCATTATTACGCTCGCTCGCAGTTTGGTAAAGTTTTAATCAATTTCTTCTAACGAGAGAGAGAGAGAGAGAAACTTCTAACGGAAAATCTATGGGAATTATGTTGAAATAAATTTTTACGAGCGATAATAATTTAATACGTTAAAACAAGATTTCACGGTAAAATTTCGCGGCGGCAAAAGATCTTTCATTCAGAAAAATTAAACTCGAGGGACTTCGGTCTTTCGCGCAGCTTCTTAATCTCATGTGATAAAATGTATACACTGCATAAAATGATGGCATAAAATGTATACATTGCATATCGCGCGTCTGGTTTATTATCATATTTTAAATGTCATCACGCGATACGAACCGCTTATACAAGGCTATTTCGTGTGATCAAGATACGTATACACAAAATTATGAGATCGCTACGAAATTTACACGTAGAACGAACGAGCGGAATTAAATTTGCCATATTAAAAATCTTACATTTGATATGTCATTTATAAAAATCTGACACACATCCCATTTTGATATTTTATTTGTTAACAAATATCAATCTACGTTATGTTTATACCTCAGATGTATGAAAAAAATAAATTTTACACGTACGTTTATCTTATTAAGAAACAAAGCGAAATGTTACTTTATTACTCATAATTCTTTGAAATTGTGGAACTTTTACATTATATTAAGTACACTATTATTTCGCAAACTGTAACATAATTTACCGTTATTATAAAATAATTCAACATTAAAGAAGTAAAAATAAAAATATGTGACGTGTAAAAATAAGATGTGTGCGTAAAAATAACAAATGTGACTCATAATTTGGAATTTTTATGCACAAACAGTTTTAAATATTCTTTCGGAATTCATAATCATTGAAAATAGATATAATAATTTTCTTTTAAAATTACAATATTTATTATGTTTATGTTGAAATAAATAAGTTTTATTTATGCAATCGATAAATTAACACAAATAAATGAAAATTATTTTTTAACTTTACATTTAAAAAAAATATGCATTCGCACTAGCTTGAACATATCATAAAATTTATTATGTCATTTATTATATAGCAATACAAATTCCCTGTTACAGTCATAAGTCTCACGAGAAGAGATACAATTTGACAAGTTAAATATTACTTTAAATATTACTTTACAGTTATAGATTACGTCATAGTTATAAATAAAAAAAGAAGAAAAAGAAGACAATTTTTACAACTAAGAATGTATTGTTTACATACAGAGAAGAGTTTATCTGAATGATGCGCTCTACTCTACTAAAGCATGAATTATTAATATATACTAATGTCACGATTTAAAAATACTTCTGACAGACGTCTACACACAGGTGAAAGACAAGATAGGAAACATAAAGCGTATAATAAACATATGTAAAGATTTTGACAAATGTAGCCAATTTTTTGACAAATCGCTTATTTTTTTCAGAAGTAAACAAATACATGAAAAATATTTATAGAGATTAATTTATGGAGATATCGTTATTAAAAAAGCATCAGAATATCTAAAAAGATTCTGTATATAACGGAAATTAAATACAGAATGTCTCAAAATTTGAGGATAATACAATGCAGTGTAAAAATTCGTGAAAAATTACATAATGTAAGTGTATGCTATTTTTTTCGAGAAATAAATTTTTTTAAGTGGCAATGTTTTGTTTAATATTGATGATCGCAAAATTTCTGATAACTAATACCATTATTTTTATACGACACACGAATAAATGACTTCTTAATTGTTTATGATTATACTCTTCATAAGAATTTATTTATAAAAAATTAAAAAAAAATGACATGTGCACTTTAATTATTTAATTTTTAAAAAATCGTATTCTCGAATTTTGTAACATCTTATATGTGTGTGTGTATATATATATATTTTTTTTTTCGTTTAAATAAATTTTTAATAAAATAATAACAATTTTCTTGGTTATCAGCGATGATTTCTTTTAATACGATTTCTTTTTTTTCCCCGGTATTAAACGTACGTCTTTCACAGCCATATTTTTCTTATCCCAAGCTACTTCTTGGCACGTAGACACAATAAAGAAAACAACAAGAACGCTACGTTACGCCTTGTTACTTATCGACAGTATTGAATTTTCTATGAAACGTTCTCATGAAATTTCTATGAACGTCTCAGCCAACATTATTTACGATACAAGAGTAAAACCGGGGATTATTTAATTTAAGCTAAATTAATTCGGTTAGGCCGTTAGGCGATCGATGCGACGATGTTATCAAGATTGGCGAATCGTCCGACTAGCAACCCATCCTTGCGCTCAATTGTACTATAATAGAGGAAGGAATCGACTACTACGTGCAATTAATTAATCAAGGTTGTTAAACAAAAAAAAAAAAACGACGGACGAGGGGAAGGTAGAGACGGTCGAGGGAAAAAAAGTACGAAGCGTGTCACGATGAAGTAACGCATCGTTGACATGTGTGTTTCCCCTCCCCCCCCCCCACTAAGGCTCTATTAACGTTAATGACAGCTTTCCTCTATTCTTCGACCGACTTTTAAACGCACATTTGACTTACATTTTACTTTTAGAAAAAATTTAAAAAACTATTTCTTTTAATTGGTTCAACAACCTTTGTGAGGTATGTAAAGATCAAAAGACGCGACTTTACAGGGAAGCATTTCGAAGATTCTGATGCTATTTAGCGTCATAACTTCGCATTCCTTGCGATGATTCATCCTCTTTTTTTCTTTGTTTACTTCAAGTCGAGCCTGCAAGTAGAAAATAAGAAGTCGAATACGAACAATCCAAAAATACGTTTTGTTTTTTTTTTTGTTATTTCTTCCAATTTGCTTTATTTCACAAGAAGTTTAGCTCTTTTTTTCCACTTGTTTAAGTTAATTAGCTTGCTTAAGTTATTTAGACGCGTTCAGAGATCATTTTACACAATTCAGAATATACAGGGAGTAAATTAATTAAAAAAAAAATAATAACGTATGCGTAAAATAAAATCGATATATTTGACCATTTTTAATTGAGCTGACATTTTCAGCTCATATTCTGAATTTTTTTATCGATAAAAGTGCCTCTAAGAGTGGCTTCCTAATAAACAAAGTGACATCAAATAATGTTCCACTGACATTTTATTAACATTAGAAATGTTATTGAGACGTTTAGTAAAATGTTATTTGACAACACTTTGCTCATTGTTAGAAGCCTGCTGATTGGCTGTGAGTCACATTTAGAGACACTTTTATATCAAGGATCCTTTTAAAAAAAAGATATTCAAAATATTTCTATAGGAGAATCTTTCTCATTAAGCCGTTTGACCTACAACTACACGCCGGCCGTTGACATTCACCTAATTTGACGTTCTCTCTAGTCGACGACTCTTCACGACGAGCTCTGTACTCTACTTCTGCCGGAGAAAGATATTCGTTTACCTGTGTGTTCGTCAAAAAATATTTTGGAACGATGCTCAGCAACGAGGCAACCGGAAATCTCGGTTCATAACGATGACGATGTTGTTATTTATAATTCGGAGCCGTTCGCGCGACACTTAGTTCCGTCACGTAGGTGAAGGAACAACTGAGGAACGCAGGACAGGTAATATCGTCGTCCCGATCCTCCCGAGATTATCTCGCTCAATCTCGTTATCGCGATCCGGTCGATTCTTATCCGCGCCGCTCCCGGTGCCGAGACTCTCGCGAGCAACCTGCGAAACGCTTACGCAAATGGAGTTAATACCGGTGTGCCGCGTCAGCCAGGCGGAAAGAAAGAGAGAGAAAGAGAGAGAGAGAGAGAGAGAGAAAAAGACGATCTGATCCCTCCGCGCCCTTTCCCTCCCC